CAAAACTCCATTTTCAAATGCCAAAACTCAGTTTTCGAATGCCAAAACTCAGTTTTCAAATGCCAAAACTCCATTTTCAAATGCCAAAACTCCATTTTCAAATGCCAAAACTCCATTTTCAAATGCCAAAACTCAGTTTTCAAATGCCAAAATTCAGTTTTCGAATGCCAAAACTCAGTTTTGAAATGCCAAAACTCAGTTTTCAAATGCCAGAACTCCGAACTAGGTAGGTAGGTAGGTAGGTAGGTAGTTTGGATAGGTGTACACAAAGATAGCTTACCTCCCCCACTAGTGTGATCTCCTACAGGTCCAGTGGAAGTGCTAAGTGTGGGTCCCTGGCTTCGTATCCAGTTCATTTCATCAGTATCATCTTGTGTCCACACACAGAAACCATTTGCGTCCAGTTCAAACTCGCAATCATTGGGACCTTGAACAACAATGGATAGCTCTTTCAGCTTTAAACTGTTCATCCTGGAGGTTGAGTCGGGACCATGCCTTATTGCTTTAATGTTACTACAGGAGGAAACTGTAGCTCCCAAAGAAAGCCTGCTGTGTTTGGTAGAGTCAAACGGGAAGCACGCTTCTCAAATGCGACTGAGGCAAAATTATAATCACATGCAAACATCAAATGGGACTAGTGTTTAAAACTTTACCTAAACCACAAGACTGGAACACACATGACTTCTCTTCCATCTTCTCTTCAGTGCAATTTTTCCCGCCATTTCTTGGCACGGGATCATCACATGTGCGCACACGTGATCTCGTGCCAGGCCCACACTGCGTGCTACACGACGTCCAAGACGACCATCGACCCCAGTGGCCATCTACTGGAGCTGTTAGAAAACGTAAAATGGTAAAATGCTTGAATGTTAGATGTATATGTACGACCATATGACCACGTACCACTTTTCGCAGCCGCTCCTGTTTGGGTCTAAAGCCTGGTATACACTATCAAAGTTTCTGTGATCACAGTAGGAATTTTGCATGGGTAATTCTAAGTTTTGAAAGATTTGTAAGAAATGTTTGAAGGATCGGAACCAACTCACTGTTAACACAGAAACTTTGCCAGTGTAAACCAGGCTAAAGAAATGCACAAAATTTACACGCAAAATTTCCATCTCAAAAACCCCTCTGCAATCAGTAGACCTTTCCTCTTATGAGTGAAATTTTGATCTAGATATGCCTGGACAAAAATTTCATCACAGCTTGAAAGAGCATCACAAAATTAGTAATATTCCGAAGTTTCGTTGCGAAATGTTGTAAAATGCGGATAATATAGTCTTGTGAAGTTTGCCGTTTTTCAGTCATTTTGCATTACAAACGGGAAATTGATAATCAGATGATCAAACGGATTATCAATTTCCCATTTGTAATACAAAATGACTGAAAAACGGCAAACTTCGCAAGGCTATATTATCCGCATTTTACAACATTTCGCAACGAAACTTCGGAATATTACTAATTTGGTGATGCTCTTTCAAGCTGTGATGAAATTTTTGTCCAGACTTGTCTAGATCAAAATTTCACTCAAAAGGGGAAAGGTCTGTTGATTGACTTGATTCTATATATCTGGATGGCTTGAACTCAAAAGTTCTGATTAAATGGCGTACCGGTACATTCTGCCACAGAGCACACGATAATTTCTTCCTCAACTCCATGAGAACTGACACCAGGACAATCTCGCGTGGCATTCAACGACGTACAAAACCTTTCACGTTTCTTTTCGCACCCACCATTACAGGGAGTGAAGGTAGACCACGAACTCCAGCCAACATTCGTCGCTACAAAGGGAAAAAGTTCAATAGCATTTAGTAGCGCTTCAAGTAAAATTCTCAACCAAAGGTAAAAGAAACTCGTTTGGCATAAAACGACGTTAAGTATTCAGTTGATGTTTGAACTGCCAGTAAAACACAAACGACAACAGCTTTGGGACACAAACGACAACAGCTTCTTGTAGAATACTACCTATGCTGGAACCCTACAACTGTTTTTCAAAAAGTTCAGACAACAAACCAAGGCAGCTTAGAATTGTAGAATACTGCCTACACTGGACCACCACATTTGAGATACCTTTTTTCGGGTAATTCAGACACAAACCACGGCAGCTTCTTCTAGAATACTACCTACATTGGACCCGTATCTTTTTTAATACCAGAACAACACTTACAACCACAATCATACAAGTCATTGACTTCGTCAATATCCAGTTGCGAAAAACCATTTCTCTGTCCCAGTTTAAGATTCGGGTTTATTATCGAGCGAATTGTGTCCATTCCGTTCTTGGAGAAATAAGTATTCCCATAATGCATCAGGGATTGCAAATCGTAGGCCTTGTCTTGATGGTCGACTGCGAAGTAGTTTTGCTTCATAAAATTGTACTCCTTCCCTAAAAAAATAAAAATATTATTAGCATCAGCTTATAAGACAGATAGGTGGAGAAGAACTTTTTGCGAAAAAAGCGCTACAAGTTTAACTGTCTGCAAGTTTTCTTGGGGTACTTCGGTTTCCTCTTGTGAACGACCGCGTCGTTTATACCGCGGGCTTTCAAAACAAGCAGGCGGCCGGCGGGTGGTATGAGGTTGACTGCCCACTACCTTCTTTAATTAATTAAACTACAATGTGCATCCATCTCGCTTTTTTCGAGGTTTGCGGCTACAAAGTGCGCCTGTTTTCGGCATACCTTTTTAGCCACGGTTTGTGGGTATAAAGTACGCCTGTTTAAGATAAGAATAAGACCTTTACTCAAACGTCGCAGGGTAGTTCAGACACCGACCACGGCGGTTTATTGTTATATATTATTCATGGCAATTACAGACAGCTATAGTTACAGTAACAACAAACCTTCGCGGATATTTTCCCACATAACTTCAACATAAAGATTTCGATCAGCTCTCGCCTGCTCGTGCCAGAATCCCAAGGCGTGTAGGAGTTCATGCATGGCTGTCGCAGTGATGTTGCACCCGCTACCAAGCGACAATTTCTGAGCACCTGAACTCCAGTATGCTTTACCAACTGAGGACCAGCAACTACAAGAAAATTGTTTTATTTCATGTGACTGCCTATATGAGATGTCTTTTTCAGGTAGTTCAAAACCACGGCAGCTTATTGTAGAATACTACCTACACTGGACCACCACGTTTGAGATATCTTTTTCAGGTAGTTCAGACACAAACCACGACAGCTTATTGTAGAACACTACTTACACTGGATCAACACGTTTGAGATATCTTTTTCAGGTAGTTCAGACACAAACCACGGCAGTTTATTGTAGAATACTACCTACACTGGACCACCACGTTTGAGATATCTTTTTTCATGTAGTTCAGACACAAACCACGGCAGCTTATTGTAGAATACTACCTACACTGAAGCTCACTGGGAGCGAGGGTGCACTTACCCATCCTCTTTAACAAACTGGATCCAATTCTTCTCGGTTGTGTGAGGAACAAAACGAATGCAGGTGTGCTTGTGAAATTCTTGGAAAGCTTTCAAAATCGTTCCTTTATACCAACTGTCAACTACAAAAACAATCAATGCATCAATAATGCATAATGGCCTGATCTAGTCTGGATGACCCGTCTGGACGAACCTGGGCCGAGGAAAGATAGTTTGATAATTTATCTGTGTATAACACAGCTTACAGACAAATCATTCGTGTGGCTACAGAAAATACACGCCCTCATGAAACAACAAAAATATTTCTTACTCAATTCCTGGGATATCACATAAGGCACTTTTCTGTCTCTCCATAAAAATTTTCTTGATCGACGAGCATTTCTTTTGGTCACAGTATGTTGAGAAGAATTCTGGTTGGGTAATACAATGTCACTTTCATATAAATCAAGATCGTTTTCTACAAAAGAAGAGAAAATATCTTTGGACATGCATGGCGCTGCATGCTACTGAGGCCGATTTGGAACACAAATGAACGAATTATTAAAGCGGAGATCCAGTACAGTATAACAGTGGTTTTCTACAACGAGCTGTTGCGGTCTCTAAACTACCCAAGGATTAAAAGCACTTCGAAGGTCCTCCCTGAAAAGATAGGAGCCGTTTCATTTGCAGTTTGTGGCTATATACCTTCTCACCTATAGGTATTTTACATGTAGTTTAGACACAACCCACGGCATAAAAAACACGCTATGCTGCTTTCATGTCACCAAGAGGATTTTATTTTATGTCCACGAACAGTAGTACAGTAGTACTGTACAACATTATTGTGATACAGCCAGGTTGGCAAGGCGGTCAGAGGCACTTGCATTAATCTGATATACCAACTGTAACACATACATAATGTAAGTAAAATGCCCGTTCCACACACCTTCATTAACGGCAGCTATGCGAGTCATCACATCTTCATCAGGTTTCAGAGTGTTCGACTTCAACGGAAGATCATCTTTCACAATTTCATAAAAAAATGTAAACGTTAATTGCTACGTACCCCCTGTTAAATTACGTGCCCGTGTACAAATGAAAGAAAATTACAAATAAAGAAATGAAAAGTACTCACTTTTGTTCGGTATTGGTCCTGCGATTGATAGCGAAGAAAATAGAAGAATTAAGAAGAAATATAGAAAGCTGATAGGTTTTGCCATTCTTGTGCAATCAAGTAGTCTGGGTGACTGATGTTTTACAAAACAACGCGAGAAGCTTGCCCCTTTTAATACCCGCGACAAACTGCTCTTTTTAATGCGCGCTCTGGCGAAATTAGTTTCTTTTTAATTAAAAAGGCAAATATATTCGAGACACGCTAATGTTGACTTATGAATGGCAGAGGCTCTGTTGGTTCCCACGCCGTGAACAGCCGTAATAAAACATACATAATATGCAGAAATATAATATATATACACAATAAAACATTAATTACTTCAGAACTCAACAAGAGCTGGTCAGGTTGCATGTATTAGAAAAGTAAACACGACTTATAAAATATTCAAAAATATTCCGACGTTTTACTAGTTATATTTGTGTTCAAAAACAAAATTCCTTTTTAATTAGATGCATGCTAAAAACGCAAAATATTAAAGACAATAAACGAGTTAGATTTGCAATTGTTCGTGTAATTAATGCTACATGGTTGATTTTATGAATTGTAGAAGTGTAAATTTTATAAAGCTAAGTTGGTTTGTATTCAACAAGTTATATTTTACTGATTAAAACCAGGGATGGATTTACTGGGGGGGGGGTGCACCCCCCTAGCCCTGGCCAGAGGGGGAGCAGGGAGAGTGCTATTCTTCATGATAAAGCAAAAAATTATTAGAGACAAAATGAGATACAGTAATTTGAGCAATAACATGATGATAAGCGAACTGTGAACAACAATTACAATTCAAATACAGTAGTCAAGCAAGACCTTGCAGTAGTGAAGCAAGTTGATGGGCGGGCGGCACACATGACCGACACAACTCGGCACCAGAGCTGGAAGAGCACCCCCTCTACCAGATCATGCTGGATGAAATTCTCGAGGAAATATTTCCCAGAAAAGAGAAAAACATTTTCCGTGCTTTTTCGCCGTGTTCAATCGAGTTATTGAGCATGCATTTCTGCCAATCAAAAACGTTGTATAACATGTATATTATAAAGCATCTACTTAAAACTGTTTTCGTGAAAACTAGAGTCATGTATGCCTTACTTAAGCAAGAGACAAGATTCGTTAAGACTTAATTATGATGAACTATTTTTACTTTAGGAATGGCACATGTTTCATTACAACTTAATTATGATGAACTGATCCAGTACTTTGGCAGCATGAAAATTGGATAATACTGTATCTTTATAGCATGCACTGTAAATAATGAGACTTGGTTTTGTTAAGACTTAATTATGATGAATGGATTGGACAGTTCTTGGCTCCAAAGGGGTTTGAACAACAAACTATAGTCAGTCCTATGAACCGCCATTAATATCAATGCAAACATTGAAATTGAATAACAAGAACGACTGTCACAATGTAGCTGCTGAAATAACAAATCAAATGAAAAAATCATTTTTTTGAGGACTTGCAAACAGGACTCTATAGAACGCCTACACATGTGTAAAACATATGCCTTCCCTTCCCTTCCAAAGACTAAGTAACCTTTCAGAGATAAAAGTATAACAGATTTGTATTCTATGCAAAGTTTTACATAGTTTGGTTGTTCATCAAATGTACTGTAGAGACTCTTTGCATTGTTCGTTCAGTGATAGCGGCTATCTGGGATTCTGGGGTCGGTTGTACCACAAATGCTTGATAGCGTTTTCCAATGGACATAGATTAATAATACCATTATTGATCATCTCCAGTAAATTGTGAAGAGTATATTGAGTCTTAAAACTATGCTTGGTATATAGGCACCTCATTCATGTCCAGCATTTCTTCAATCTTTCACAAAAAATCCCTGTCCTACGTACATTAATGTACTTTGACGTCGTATATGACGAAACATGATAACGTAACATGATGACGTCATACATGACGTGACATAGTGACGTCATACATGACTTATGACGTTACTCACGTGATCACCTCACTCTCTTCCCCCTCCAGAACACGGCACGTTTTTCTTTGGGTAAAATAGATTTGGCGGATCGACGTACTTTCTGTCTCTCCTTCCTGTGAGCTTTTGCCGCATCTTCCTCCTCGATCTCACGTTGGTTCTGGGGAGATAGGGAAAAAATAACTACACTGAACTAACTTTATTTGCACAGGACCACTCTACCAGTTCTTAATTATTCTTCCTAGAGTCCAGTGAGAGCCATCCCTTATTGATCCAGTGTTACTGCCGAAGGAAACCTAAACTAAACTAACTTTATTTATACTGGATCTATCAGTTCTAAACTGTTCTTCATAGATGTCTAGTAAGAATCATCTCTAATTGATCCAGTGTTACTACAAGAGGAAACCTAAACTAAACTAACTTTATTTGTACTGGATAGCTCTATCAGTTCTAAACTGTTCTTCCTAGATGTCCAGTAAGGATCATCTCTTATTGATCCAGTGTTACTACAAGAGGAAACCTAAACTAAACTAACTTTATTTATACTGAATAGCTCTATCAGCTCTAAACTGTTCTTCCTAGAGGTCCAATAAGGACCATCCTTTATTGATCCAGTATTACTACCGGAGGAAACCTAAACTAAACCAACTTTATTCAATTCAAACACGTTACCTTGCTAAGTTTAAACACGATCTCCTTCCCGCCAAGCGATGATCCACTGGATTTTATAATACTAGGATCCAGTCCTTCATCCAATCGATCTCCAAGTGCAACCCTAAAATATATAATTTAAATGTCCCTGAATATACAAACTACAATTTTGTCAATAAGCACGAAATCTACCCACGTTTTCTTTCGTTTTTCATCGCCTTGTTGTTTCATGCTGGTGAACTCCTCCCCAGACTTCAGTTCATAAAACTTTGGCTGCTGGTTTGAAGTTTGTTTTTCTTTCTGCAGTTTCTTATATTCCTGTCTCCATTTATAATCATCGTCATCAGAACTCGACTCTTCGTCATCGCTACCAACACCTTCTACTTCACCATCCTAACATGAAGTATTTTACTGTGTGTAAGTTCTTCAGCCAGAAGAAACCACTTTTCAGACAAAGTGTTATTCGTGTATAGCTAGAACTATCTATCTCGATGCGCTGATCAAAATGATATATACTTTTTGTGAACTTTTTCTGAAAAATAGGTTCGCATAGTGTACGGTCCGATGGCACTATTTTACGGACTTTTTTCGTGAGAACATGACTATATATTTAAATAAATCATTTACCGAAATTTCGTTGAAATCTTCCAGCTTCTTTTCCATTTCTTTCTTTTTATCTTGCCTTTCTTTGTCGCGTTTGGAAATGATCGGATGAAGAAGTTGGTATTGCTAAAAGAAAGAAAATATTGCAGCAATCGAAAAAATCACTTGGTTGTCTATTAGAATGTTTCATTCGTGTAAAAACTATGCAGCTGACCTCACTGCTCTCGTCAACTTCGAAATCTGGGTTGGTAAATATGGCGGCAAAACGATCATCTCCCAGAGGATTGCTGACGTCAACCTGTGTAAAATGACAGAAAAATGAAGTGGTCTGACTCTTCGATCTCGAGGTAATTTTCCTTAATCTTTCCTTACTTTGCCAATGTCCTTATTCTCCGAGGCTTCATCCAACAATTTTTCTGCCAGTTGACGATTGACCTTCGGTAATTTCTAAACGAGTAAACAAGAACAATCTTTTCATTGACCTGAAATGTAAAATCTACAAAAGGGTGAAGAGAGAGATCTGGGCTGGTAGACATTGCAAAGCAAGATAAGAGTAAAGTTAGTTAGTGAAGATGTAACTCATTATTTATTATTTTGCCCTCGCTTTGCTTCTCTGCGTGCTTCAATGCTTACCTCATGTGCCTTGCTGGAAATGTATGGAACGTTTTGAATATCTCTCAACAAGTGGACAATCTATTACATGGTTCAAGAAATCTAAGTTTTGAAGTAAATGCTGCACTTTTCTCTGAAGTACAATGCTATATTGGTAGTTCTGCACGTTTCGCATAGGATGTTTATGCAATTGCCAAGAGATCCTTTTTTGTCTGTACTTGTGGTGGTAATTGTAATATAATATTGCAATTTATGTTAGCATGAACCCCCTCGATGAGCTCTAAGCTCTTGGCGTAAATGTATTTAAATGTTTTAAATTTAAAAAAAGAAGAAAAAAGCAAGATAGAGCGAGACAGAAGGGAGACTGAAGAAAAGATTAAAGGACGGTGTAAAAGAAGATTTTGAACTGTCTGTGTTCGACGTTTCGAGCTTCATCTGGAAGTTAGTACTAACAAAGATCTAAATGTCAAGGAACAGGCGATGGAGAACCTTTGCAACAACTCTGTTTTCTCGTTCTTCTTCAATTTTCTTTTTGATCAGATTTTTACGATATTCTTCGTAAGCAAACGGCTCCGCAATTGCCTTGGCCTGGAAATACAAACATCGCAAAATTTACCAGAATATGGAGTAAAAAAATCACGTATAGTTATTCCAGTGAACGCCCTAAGTATCTCTTGTTATCTTTGTAATTTATGAACGAGCAACGAATGTATTTAACCAAGTTACCTTATGATACAACCTGATGTCGACGAAGAAGCCATGCATGTACGCACGTAGTAGGTTGGTACCCATTAAATGTGACAATCCTAAGCTTGCCAAATCTTGCTTCGTTACAAACTTGTAATCGTCATAAACTAAATTTATTTATTTAAAAAATATTTAGTTAAGTTGAGCAATGCGCAAAAATACAGAATGTGAATCCACCGTACCGACTGGTTGAGAATCCTCTTCTAATTCTTCAGTTAGACTGTCAAGAAACGAGCACCATTTTGGAGCAGGACCCAAGGACTGGAAACAACAAGAAAAACATTATATTTTTGTGTGTGTTTTGATGTCATGTACTCAGGTTAATATAATGTTTTTGATGTTACTCTGAGTGTATCTCCACACCGGGCAGGCGGAAAAGTTAGCCTAACCACGGTGGGAATCGAATCCGCGACCTTTGGGATGCTAGTCCAATGCTCTGCCAACTGAGCTACCAGGCTAAGTCTGTTCGAGTGTGTGGTATTTCGGAACTAAAGTCTAGTACCAATGTGTTCTATGATCATGATATTTTTGCGTGTGTTTTGATGTTATATACTCAGGTGAATATAATGTTTTTGATGTTACTCTGAGTGTATAATCCACATTGATTGTGCACCTAAAATTTTCTTTCAAACTATAAAAACAACTATACACAGTTTATATTTACAGATCATATTCTTACAGGAATATAATAAATGAGCATTTTCGGTGCTTCTGTTGCCATAAATATCAAGCCTTAAAGTGACAGAAAATATCAAAGGTTAATAAAAACTGTTTGAAATCATGAAACTCTTTTTACTATATAACTAGCAATGAAGACGAAGGGCCTTCGGTTTCGCTCAAAATGTCGAAGTGTGTTTATTTTATTCAGGTAGTGTCATCATTCACATACAATAAACAAGAATGCCGCTTGTTGGTAGAATTTATAGAAAGGTTTCCACTTTCAAACCCACCTGAGTTCGGGTAAGCACACAGGTTGTTAATGCTTGTTCCAGGTTCTACGGCGGTAAATGGTTTGCCCTAACAAAAGAATTCTTTTTAATACAGTGATCCATCAGAATTGGCAAGAAAGCCAAAATGAAAGTTCTTTGATTACAAGATATGAAGTAATGGATATTCCTTCATCTTACCGAGTCTCTATGCCATATTTTCAAAATCTTAGAGTCGGTAGAAAGGACCATGTTAACATCGTTTTGGAAAGCCAAACTATTGATTGGCAGACCATACTGATGGTCCTTCACCAATACTGGTTTATCAGAACGTATGTCATACAAAAGAACCTGAAAAAAGTATCAGAAATATTTCTTTAACTCTGATTTGTACTTCATGAGCAAAACGCAAAGAAATGAGCATCATATCGTCATCACGGCAATAAACGTCAATAAATGGACCTGTTACCTAATGAACAAAATTTTGATCCAGACAGGTCTAGACAAAAATGTCATCACAGCTTGAAAGAGCATGAATGCTGTATAACTGCACAAGAGGATGACGACTTTGTATGTTCATACTGTATATTCGGTTCAGTGCACAATAGTTTTAGTCATTATCAACATTGTGGCGATTTTAAATGGCCTTTGAAAATCAAGAGAGATCGTATATTATCAAATTATGCAATTGGCTGAACTCTTTCTCGACAAGTAGCAAGTTTCAAGCGATTTATGATCAAGCGAGATTGTATATTAATTGTTTCTCGACGACTTTGTATGTTAAAATTCAGGCTTTAAATTCTTTACTCACATGTCCAGTGCTTGTGCCAACACCAAGAAGAAGTCCGTTACAATATTTCATGGCTGTTACTTCTGGTATTTGACTTGAACCACTAAAACAAGCAATAAAAACCTCAGTCTGTATGCAAATAAACTCTCTTGAACAGTATTATTACTGTATGTTTGCATCCAACTGCAGGACGTTTTCAAACCTTTCTAATCCAAGGTTATTGGTAGCAACGTCAACTTGACCAACGCGTGTTCTCGAACGTGGATCCCAACATTCAACATGACCCTAACAAAAAAATATTCATCTACAAACAAAAATAAACAACAGGAAGCAACTGCAACAACAACAACAACAACAACAACGACAACAACAACAACAACAACGACAACAACAACAACGACAACAACAGCAACAACAGCAACAACAACAACAGCAACAACAGTAACAACAACAGCAACAACAACAGCAACAGCAACAACAACAGCAACAGCAACAGCAACAACAGCAGCAGCAACAGCAACAACAACAACAACAACCAACAGCACTATACAACATAAAAAACAAATTATCCTCTCTTTCTATTTTGACTAAAAAAAAACTACTGTAGATAACAAACTTAAATCTGGCTCAATCATTTCATAGTTCCTGATGTACCTGAGACGTTCCAACAGCAAGTAGTTGGTGAACAGGGTTTAGATCACAGCAGTTGATAGATCTTAAAAACAACATATATTTGTATTGATTACAAAAGTATACTAGTACTATAGTACTAGTAGTTATTCCCCAAAATCTTGCAACACCCATTCAAAAAAGCTTACTCTGAATCAGTTTGCAGAGGATTCAAGAACCGTCCTTGTTCCAAATTCAGTCTATACACTTCTGAACTATAGAAATCAGGAAAATGTGAATCAAAACACTGTATCTTTTGGAGAACTATTATAGCATTTAAAGATGTGAAATTTTACACTGATTAATATCAGATCAATCCTATACCTTTCTCCAACCAAGTATAAATCACAAGACGGATAATGGTAGACAAGATCTCGGCCAAACTTTGGAATCCTTGTTCTATAATAACGGCCATACTGATACAAAGAAAATTATAAAATTTGCTTAATCACTGACATGCCATGCTTTCTAGGCAGTTCAAGTGTTCTAGCTCCCTTGGAAATTATGTATAGTTTACAGTATGTTGTAGGAATATATTGACTATAAAGTGATGCAATTTGAGATTACATACTTGTGCGTGAAACTCGACATATCTATCACAATTCAAAAACACAATCTGAAAGACACAAAATAAATAAACACACATTTACATATCGTTCACACAGAATGAAATTTGGAGTAACTTATGTATTTTTGCTTGCACCTTTGAATAATCGTCGGAGAGGATTCGAAATTTTACAACTACAAATTAACGGAGAATAACAGATTTAGATTTACTAACTACATTAATTATTAGATTAAGTTAGTATTAACAAGGTATTTAAAATTTACTTACTGTCGGAATCCAAACATCGTTCAAATTTCATGGACATTTGAGATACATCATAGCACTTCACTCTTGGTTTATAACAACCTTAGAAATAAAGAAATAAGATAATTTCTTAACACCAACATTTGTCACTGGAAATTAATGGCCATTGGCAACCACAAGTCTTATTTTTATTACCAGAAATATTTCAGTGAATTCTCACCTGAGGCCAGAATGTAGTTTTCATCTTGTGAAATTTCAATATTTGTTGACGCTGTTGGCATTTCAAAATCTTGGATAAGTTCGATCCTTCTTCGTATGTCTATGCAGCAGAAAGAATTTTTGTTATGAATAGCAACATTTTTAAATTTGCAACATTTTTAAATTTGCAACATTTTTAAATTTAAATTTTAACATTAAAATTTTAACATTTTTAAATTTATGAATAGTAACATTTTTGGTATTTTAATAGCAACATTTTCAACATTTTTAGAAGTGTGATAAATATAACGGTCAGCAACTAACCAACATCTTGGTTTTGAAGGAGTCTTCTTCGTCTTTCTGAAAGCCACTACAGAGTAACAACAATATATTGTACGCTATTTTTTTTATTTTAATGTTGAATGGTCTGAGTCAGAGCATGTCTAGTGTCAATAATAAGAAAGGGATACAACCACCCCTGACAAAAACAACGAGAACTTCAATGTTACTAACTTCCTGACGAAGGGAGTTTGCTCGAAGCATCGAAGTTCTCCTTGTATTTTTCAAGTAGTTGCATCGCTATCAATCTGAAGCTTTTTGTATATTGTTAAACACCACAATTGTCTGTTATCTATAGTCTCTATACCCACACCCCGTTGAGTAAATCCATTTACCGAGTCAAATCCGAGTCAAATCCGAGTCAGTCCCGAGCCCGAGTCAAATGCCCGAGTCGAGTAAAAAAAAAGACGAAAGTGAAGAAAATTTACAGTCGAATAGGGTTAGGAGTAGGTTTGGGGTTAGGGTACTAAGTCATTTTACCAACAAAGACAGTTAAACAGTGACTCAGACATTTAACTCGAACTCGGATTTGAGTCAGTCAGTAACCGACAAACTCCGAAATAAAATAAATAAAATTCACAGTTGAATAGGGTTAGGGTAACTTAGGAGTGGGATTATGGTTAGGATTAGGCTACTAAGTCATTGAATTGCAAAGACCATCGATTAAACAATGACTTGGACATTTGACTCGGGCTCGGATTTGACTCGGTTAACCGACAAACTCACACCCCGTTCACTATTTTGTTAGTATGAATTTTGGTTATTACACATGATTCCTCCCTTGACAAGTATAACGTTGTCTGGCATTGTACAAAGTAAAATAATCTGGCATTAGACAGAGTTGACCAATTGACCATTGATTATTCAACACTGTCCAAATGTTATTTTCTAAAGTTCACCTGTACCAGACTGCAGAGTTGGGCAATTTTCAACAAGATCTCGGGTGGACAAATGTTAGCAACGAACAGGTGCACAAAACAATTCCCAAGTGCGCATCAAGATGCAGTCAAGGAATGAAAATTAGAGATTTGACGGCAGATTAAATTGAAACAATTGTTATACAGTACACCCCAGGTGTGCTGAAATTTTTGCCTAAAAAATATCGAGTGCGACATTGACCAACTCTGCAGTCTGACGCCTGTATGATGATATACATCATAGATGGCCATATTCTGTATATCACTATACGAAAGAAGAGAATGGTTGATGTGTATTTTGTCTCGTAAGAAAAAATATTCTGAGGCGGGGGGGGGGGGATTTCATGCAAGTTTTAATGGATATCTCGGATTCTAGAACAAAATCATGACTTTTATACCTCCGGTAAGCTCTTGCCAGCA